ACGCTGTATTGGGATGAAGCACGCTTTGGTGATGACATTCGTCAACATGATCTTCAAGCTGCTCAACAATATGCCTTCACCTATCGCCTCATTGACGAGTGCGACCTCCAACATTCCTTCCCATCAACCGGCTGGTGTGTTCACTGGGCAATTGACCAGATTTGAACAAATCTGTAACAATTGGAAGGACTTTCGAACTGCGGCAACAACACTTACTCGTCGTATGCTTTCGCGTGGGCATTCGCCACCAACCCTTACTAAGGGGTGGACCTGCTACATGCGCTCTCGCCAACGTCGCTATCCTACACATGTGACCCGTCTCTCTCAATGGTTCCGATGCATGTTGTGATGGTCCTTGTATCATCCAATTTCTTCTTCGCCTCCACGATGCTCTCGTCCTGCCCCTGCTTACTCATCTGATGCTATCGCAGTTTTCACTGCTGCAGTCTCCACTCCTGCAGTTTCCACAATTGGAGTCTCCACTCCTGCAGTTTCCACTGCTGCAGTGTCCACTGTTGCAGTTTCCACTGCTGCAGTGTCCACTACTGTAGTTTCCACTGCTGCAGTGTCCACTGTTGCGGTTTCCACTGCAGCAGTGTCCACTCCTGCAGTTTCCATTGCTCCAGTTTCCACTGCTCCAGTTTCTGCTGCTGCAGTTTCTACTGTTGCGGTTTCCACTGCTGCAGTTTTTAGTACAACAATTTCCCTAACTGTAATTCCCCCTACTTTAGTTTTTACTGCTACAGCTTCCTGTCTTGCAGCTCCAATGCAAAGAACATCACAATCTTTCTGACGCTCACGTTCGTTGCTCCGAAATCTTGCCCAATGCACCCCCCTCTCATCTTTGTCTGTGCTTGGCCATAAACGACTGCGTTCCTCCTCACTACCCCCATCTCCTCCACGGTCTCGCTTGCGAACAGACTCTCCAGTTTCCATTGTCCCCATTGTTCCACCTGCGTTGCTAGGTACAAGTTCAACTTCTGTTCGCAACACCACTACTCTTGTTGTGTATCACCGACAGCATCCGCGGCATCGTCACTTGTCCGGGGATCAGCAACGTGTTTCTTTGTCTGCCCCGATTCTCTCTGTGTCTCCTCTACAGGTTGTTGCGGTTTCTTTGTTTCAAACGACAATATCTGCTCCTATGACACCTGCAGGCAGCCACCAGTCCCTACTCAGGATGCAGCCGCTGCCCAGAGTACACTCCCGACTGCAGGTATAGTCCCCACTCAGGATGCAGCCCTAAACGTTGAGGGATTGGAACATGATCTACCCGGATCGCAGTTGACCCCACAAGGCGTAGACCACATGGGGGATCTGCAAATGGCTGACCAGCATTGTTCGGATGAAACACAATTTTGTGCTCCGCCACACTCAGACCACATGGCTGATCTGCAAATGACTGACCAGCAAACAACCCAACACAATTTGGGCTTGCAACACCATCTGGGTGATCTGCAAATTGTTGGCCAGCATCCAACAAACCAGCCTGAGAACCTCACCAATCTTTGTGGTTTGACAGCAACTAATATCTGTCTTCACATTCTCCATCACCCGTTTTATACACCATCAGACTTCCTTGCAATCGCCCTTCAGCTTGATGCTGATCTTCCCCAACGACAGCCAGAGGATTGTAATTATACCATCGAAGGAGGTTTTACCATTGCTGTCCTACAAGTAGCAATGAGGGACCGTCAACTTGAACTATGCAATGCTCGAGCAGGTGAGTGGTTTAATCCTCCATCCCACATCTCTGCCTGCATTGTGCACGGCCCTGGCCATTACATGGCCATTGTACATGCCTCTGACCACTGGGAGCTGTGGGACAACGGCATCATGGTCCGTGCCATGATTGATGTCACTGATTTCTTACAAAATGATGTTGTTTTCTTGCCACAACAAACCGTCCGCAATCTCTCTTATGTCGAAGATCATTCCTCTGGCCCCGTGCTGCAGGAAGACAATTCACCAACACTCTGCGACCTTCTCCTTTGCACAACCACAAACACTGTTACACTCGGTTGTAGCCGCCATCGTCTCTGTCACAATCACTACAATGACATGGTTTCTGCATCCATGTGTGCAGAGGACTGGCCCACCGTTCCTGACTGCAGGCACCCTCCGCATCCGGACACTATATGTCCATTTTGCGGCCATGGGCGCTATACTGAATGCATGCTGTTTTGTGGTGACCGTTCTTCTTTCATTTTGGCCTGCAATCGACATGCCATTTGTCGGGGGTGTATGTCGGGCATGCTCAATGCCACCCGTCGTGGCAATTGTTGCGCGCTCAGCTAGGTCTTCCATGTGTTCATCCACGTCATCCTTACAATGTATGTCCTCTCTGTCGTCAAGGACAGACTCATTCTTGAACCTTTTCTTATCCTCTTTTGCCTTCATCTTCACTCCACACTCCATACTTTCTCTTACTTTCCCTTTATCGTTCTTTGTTTGTCTGCTCTCCATCTCTCCTCCCTGTGTGTATCCCCTCCCCCTTCACTCTGCCTCTTTCTCACAGCGTACAAGTGGGCTGTTATGGCACACGGGGATGGGGGCAGCTCGTGCCCAACTTCATCAACGTGGCGAGCCTTGTACGTGAGAGGCACGGTGAAAGGGGAGTCGAAAGAAGAACGAGTAAAATGAATGGTTTCACTGTGCCCTTCATGTTTGTCTGTTTTTTTTTCTTTTTTTTTTTTGCCGTTTGTTTCGCAAATTGTGCTCTTTTAGTTCATAGTTATGTGACAATATATATGTATATATATATGAGTCGGTGAAACTCCGACGAAACAGTTTGTCACAGCCCCTCGTTTGTTGTCCTCTTCTCTCTCTCTGCCTACGGTTTACCGGGCAGTTCTGTTTGTGACGATATATATATAATATATATGTTTTTTTTTGTTTTTTTTTTTCGGGGTGACGACCCCCGACCGGTAGGTGCCGACCAGCCGATTGACGGGTCGGCAGCCGACCAGTCAAGGGCCGCCGGCCGTCGGGGGGTGCACCCATTTCCTAAAGTTGGGACCTACCCCCATTCTTTCCATGCTCGCATCAAGGAACTCCCAATTTACCTGATCATAGGCCTTTTCAAAATCGAAGAAAAGAATTGTTGTGCTGATTTTTTTCTCCATCACTTTCTCGGAGGCCTCATTGAGGGTCATTACATTGGCCAGGATATACCTACCTGGTATAAAACCGGACTGGTCTATGTGGAAGCATTTATCTGTAACATCCAATATGCGGAAGGCTAGGGCCTTAGCCAGAATTTTGTAGGGAAGTGTGAGTAGAGATATTAATCTATAGTTTTTTTTGTCTTTCCGGTCACCCTTCTTGTATAGAAGTGTAACCACACTGGTACTGAGGAGTTTGCCCATACCCTCTTTTTCCCAGCTGTCATTCATAAGGTCGATCCCAGTAGGGGCCAAACTTTCGCCAAAATCCCTTTGTCAGTCCATCGATGCTTGGGGTCTTGTTATTGTTCGTGTTCTGGACTGCAAACTGTAGCTCCATGTTCTGGACCGCAAACTGTACTCGAACTCATCTAAGTTTTTTTTTTTTTTGACCGTTTCTCGATTTGTGTTTCATCCCTGTGCAGCGGCCATGCTAATCTTCCTTCTCTGTATTGTTCGAATTTTAACGGATGTCCCCCGAAGTACTTGAACTCATGTTAGTTATGTTTGAATTTATATGGAATTTTCAGGCTGTGAACGACTGGGACCGGGCAGAAAACGTTTTCAAGAAAGCTAACAAGAAACCAAGACTGTTCTCAGGTCCTACAAAGCCACAAGATGTACGGCAGGTGAGCTTTGGCAGAGCCGGTCCCTATGCTGCGTGGTTCAACAACACTCTCCATTTCTGTATCTACTACCTTTCACAACCTTTTTCCCAACATGAAGTGTGTTATCCACAACTACAGTGGGCATGGATGCCAGGTCCAGCTATCTATGAGGCTAATAGCTTTTTTTTTGTTTAATTAAGAAAAAAAGAGAAGCGGTTAACAGAGCCCTAAATTTTCAGGAGGGTTTTTTTCAGGATCATTATAACAAACGTCTTACACCGTTCAAGCCAAGTCCAGCTATCTATGAGGCTAATACCTCTTTTTTTTGTTTAACTAAGAAAAAAAGAGAAGCGGTTAACAGAGCCCTAAATTTTCAGGAGGGTTTTTTTCAGGGTCATTATAACAAACGTCTTACACCGTTCAAGCCAGATTTGTCACCAGTCCATACAGTGGTCACCAAATAAACCAACGGCCAGGGTAACCAACGTTCGGGACGGGCCGATGCCCGTCCCGAACGCCCAAACGTACGGGACCCCTTGGGGGTGCGTTCGGCCGTTCTGGCCGAACGCGGACCAAAAAAAAACAAAAACAAAAAAAAAAAAAATCAAAAAAATCTGAAAAACAAAATATGTTATGAAGAAAAATAAACTACACAACATTTGCATGAGCATTACATCCAAATTCCTTACCAAATTTGAAATAAAAATAAAATACAGAAAGTAAAACTAGTAATAAAAATAAGAAAAAATGAAAAGAGCATTAAAATTAGGGAGTGAGCGAGCACGTTTTCGACACCGCCATCTTTGGCGATTTTTCATTTTTTCTTTTTGGCACAGCCAAATGCCATGAAAATTTACAGATGTGTACTTCACATAATAAAAAACTCGTTAAAAAAGTTTCAAAGAATAATAAAATTGTTTAGGGCCCTCAATAAAGAAGCTAGGCTACCAGAGTGGCCCGGGGGCACTTGTCTGGCCGGGCCAAAACAAATAACAAAAATAGTTTGAAATTTTATTTTTTATTCTAAATTTGGTAACGAATTTCGATGTGACCCTGAGGCAAAAGTTGTTCAGTTTATTTTTTTAACATAGTTATTTTTTGGATTTTTTGGATTTTCTTCCTTTTTATTTTATTTTTTGCTGGGACCGTCAGTGGTCCTTGCACGGGCTGGCCACCTGGGACCCGGGCGGCCCGGCTGGTAGCCTAGCAATAAAGTGAAAACAAAAAGTAAAAAGTGAAAAAAAAACAAAATATTGAGTGGGCGAGCACATTTTGACACCTCCATCTTTGGCGATTTTTTATTTTTGTTTGGCTTAGCAAAATGACTTCAAAATTTATAAGCATGTACCTCACATCCTAGAGAACTCGCTGAGAACAATTCAGACCAAAAACTGTGTTTTTAGGCCCCAAAATATTTTTTGGTGGGGGCCGAACGCCTTCAGGTTCGGACCCCGAACGGGACCCCGAACGCCCGTACGTACGGAGGTTGGCCCGGGGAGCTCCGTACGTACGGGCTGGAGACCCTGCCAACGGCAAAAAAAAAAAGAGTGAAAAAATGGATCAAAGGGGTCTTAAACCCCAAGGCAAAAGTGTGCCTCTCTTTTCAGTTTTCGGGAATTTTCAGGATTTTCAGGGCTGGCCAAAAAAACAGTCATCTCCAAGATCCGAACAAACACCAAACTTGACAAAGGCAGACCTTGACCAAAAATAAAACGGGGAAAAAAATAAAATAAAAACACTTTTCAGTGCTGTGGGGGTTAACCTGGGGCTGCGAAGTGCGGGTCCCTGCTAACCGCTTGTTAGAAAAAGGAGATAGCCAGAAACAGTATCACGTTCAGAAGGATTGAACTCATGATCTGCCTATCAACAGTAACTAGACAGCACTGTTTCAGCCACACGGCAGGTACAGGTTAATCTTCACGTGATGGTCATGACGCTGTTGTCAGTGTGGGGGTAAAGTCCCACATCTGTGGATCCGTTGTTCCTGACCGTAATCTATGGCCGAGAATGAGGAAGCTGGGCAAGTGGGATGGCACTCTGATGTGTTTGTGGATACTTTGCAATATATAAGCGTTCGGAGTCAGGCACCTTTCTTTTCCTTTTTTCGTTCTCTCATTTTATTCACTTTTTTACTAGGCTACCAGCCGGGCGGCCCGGCCGTGGAAGGACCCCGGGAAGGTCTCAGCAAAAAAAAAAAGAAAAAAAAAAAGAGCCGAAGAAAAACTATGTTATGCAGAAAAATGAACTGAACAACTTTTGCCTCAGGGTCACATCGGCATTCCTTACCAAATTTAAGATTAAAATTTAAAAATAAATAAAATAAACTAGGCTACCAGAGTGGCCCGGGGTCACTTTGGTAAAGAATTTCGATGTGACCCTCAGTAAAAGGGCCTTTACCCGATATAGGCCTCAGGCCTTGTAAAAATAAAGCAGCACGGGCCTTGAAAAAGTAAAGCATTGTGAAAAGGTATCTCGTCAGAGCTCAGAAACGTGAAAGCAGGTCAAAGGTCAAGTTCTCTATCAACAGGCATATTTAAAACTAAGGCAAAGGGCATTGTCAAAAGACTTACCTGTTCACCAGGAGATGTGTATGTCATGTCTGTTTGGGTAAGGGT